TTCCTAGGAACGCAGCGACCTTGTATAGACCGACTGTAAATTCGTTTCCCTTATTGGTGGGTCCCGTTCATCTATTTCACAGCAAGGTTCCTGATAGCCTGCCTCGGTACCTTGGGTCGTTGTGATAGCACCCTCTACGCATCATATGAGACACATGCTGACTTGATGTCATTTGGATGGAACAGTTGTCGATGCGGCACATTGTACAAATTTGAAAATTCAAATATCGTGCAGACGCGGTCTTCGGTCAATCATAGGGTTGACGCAACCTCTCTTCTTTATAGCAATTTCCCGCACGTCGCAACTCCCCCCTACCCCCGAGACTAGTGGTCGACACTCTGGTCTTAGGAGTTTTTGAAGACTAGAATGCTATTGGATGCTATGGTCGGACAAGATCGGGACCATAGCCCAAAAGTCGTGGATCTTGCCAGTATCCACGAAATTCCGGGAAATATGCCTGGTGAGTTTGACTGAGACAACTCCCTGTGTGCAATTCTTACCCATATATCCGCAGCTCCAAAGGACTCCAAGAAACAGACCGACCTGAACGGTCAAACGGGTGCCAATGGCAACATTCCGCCCCCAAAAACAGACAAGCCTCGGCCCCACGTCTGCACCACCTGCGGTCGCTCGTTTGCGCGATTGGAGCACCTCAAGCGCCATGAGCGCTCGCACACAAAGGAAAAGCCATTCGAGTGTCCGGACTGCGCTCGCTGCTTCGCCCGGCGCGATCTGCTCTTGCGACACCAGCAGAAGCTACACATGACCACCACGCCGTCTTCTCGACCGAGAAACGGTCGCCGTGAGAGCACTGGCGCCGCACCCGGTGCTAACCGGGTTCGCAAGAACTCCATTGCCAATAGTTCATCTTCTTCGATGCGCCCGAGAGCCAACACGATCAGCCATGTTGATGGGGCGGCCTTGGGTATCCCCGGTGCCGGTAATCCGTCATCTGCGCCCACTCAGTCGGGTCACGCATATCACCCCAGCCTCAGTTCCTCAGTTGGCTCAAGTATGGACTATAGGGGATTCGGCTCTGGACACCCTTCCATGAACGGCCTTTCCAAGATTGAAACTTCCGGACTTCCCATGGACATGTCCGGAGGACTTCGGACTGCTCCTGTATATGGGAGCTTTGATACGGGCATCGATGGCATGCTGATGGGTCACGGTAGTACCATCAACCCAGCGCAATTACACTTCGCAGGATCCCCGCAAGGCTTCAACGATTCGCCCTCCTCTCCCTTCGGCCACTATTCCAATGGACTGCCACCCTCTGCGGATCCCATGATGGATGAAGAGATGCACTTTGACTGGATGAACGGGTTTGACACAGGTGTGGTTATGGGAAACGGCAACGACTCGGTTGTTGATGGGTCCTCGCCATCAGCAATGAGCACCGGTAGCCAGAGCGGAATCAGCGAGGCCATGCTGGATGGCCCGAATCGCATTCCCATCTCCAATGGTTGGCACAACCCGTTCCCTGCGCACCACCCGGCCAACCAGTTCGCGATCGATTTTTCCCCGACGACGTTGAATGATCTGGGGATTCCCCCGGAGACAGTGTCGCCTAAGTCTCTAATGGCGCATAATCCGTTTTCTGAGACGTATGCAACCCCTCCATCTATGACCTCGGTCGGCCAGCCCATCATGGGAGGACATTCGCAGAGTATGTTTTCCTCTCTGGCAACAAACGGAGAATCTCCTAATCCTCTCAACGTTCCTTTCCCGAATAGTGCCCTACGAAATGAACATTCACCAGTCTCAACGGATACATTTACAGACTCCACACGACAGGCTCTATTAGCGAGCATGTCGACCCCCACGGGCTTCAATCATCGCAAGTATTCCCAGCCCGCAAGTGGACTTCTAAACAGTCGCGAGTTATTCGCCCGCTCGACTGGCTTCAACAGCTCCGGTCAACTGCCCAGCACCTCGGACTTGCAGCGGTACATCTCGGCCTACATCACCTACTTCCACCCCCACATCCCGTTTCTCCATATCCCCACCCTCAATTTCCAAGCTCCCCAGTACACAAACAACCTGCGCACGCCAAGCGGACACCTCAATCTCAGCTCGACCGGTGTCGCTGGAGGCGGGGGTTGTCTGATCCTCTCCATGGCAGCTATCGGCGCCCTGTACGAATACGAATCTGCCGCCTCCAAGGATCTTTTCGACGCCGCGAAAAAGATGATTCAGTTGTACCTTGAAGAACGAAGAAAGGCCGACATGTCTGCTGCTCTCAATCGTTCACATTCCTCCCGCGATAGCTCCGTACACAACACCCCACTTTGGCTGGTGCAGGCGATGCTCTTGAATGTGATATACGGCCACACCTGCGGTGACAAGACATCGGCAGACATTGCGAGCACGCACTGTGCCGCTTTGGTCAGCCTTGCACGCGCAGCCGAATTGACACATCACCTGGATCCCAAGAACCTGCCGCAGGATCATCTCGTCGCTGGTACCAACGGGAATGATTCTCCCGGCGACTCGGAAAACTGGATGTCTTCGTCGTTTAGTCAACCGAAAGAGCGCCGAGATTGGCTGAATTGGAAGGTTGTAGAGGAGCGGAAACGTACTCTCTACGCTATCTTTGTTCTTTCCAGCTTTCTCGTCTCCGCCTACAACCATGCACCTGCACTCACAAATTCGGAAATCCGCCTTGACCTCCCCTGTGAAGAGGATCTCTGGGCGGCCGAATCACCCCAGGCATGGAAGCAGATGGGCGGTCAAACAGCCTCGAAGAAGACCTTGTCATTTTCTGCTGCTTTGACATCTCTTCTGACTGCCAGCCAACGAGAGCAGAGTCAATCGGCGAATCTGTTCTATAACTCGGACGATCTCTCCAATTCTGAAAACCGTCCTAGTACTTTCGGCTGCCTAGTACTCATCTACTCGCTACACAACTATATCTGGGAAACCCGCCAACGGCACATGGGCCGACAATGGACCGCCCAGGAGACAGATGCTATGCAATCCCACATCGAGCCCGCTCTACGGGCATGGCAAGCGGCATGGGCCAGCAACCCTGTCCACAGCCTAGAGCGACCGAATCCGTTCGGCGCTGGACCTTTGTCTGCGGACAGCATCCCCCTCCTAGATTTGGCTTATGTTCGTTTGTTCGTCAATCTAGGCCGATGCAAAGAGGCATTCTGGCAACGCGATTGGAATGGCATGGCGGATGAGCTCGCACGCGGTACTGAGATTTTCCAGCACCCAGATGCTGCAATGAACGACGTTGTTGATCCGTCTCTCACAAGTCACATTGATACGAGACGAGACTCCGTTGCCGATCTAGGAGTATCAGATCTAGCCATCTCCAAGACACCTACGCAAGACGAGCCGATGCAGACTCTATCCAACATCTACAAGATCGGCCAATCCAAGCGCGAAAAGCACCTGCGGAAAGCGGCGTTCTACGCAGCGGATTCCATCTCTATGTCGGATCGTCTTGGTAATACCTTTGCCGAATTCTCGTCGCGCGAACTACCCATGCAGTGCGCGTTGTGTGCTTTCGATTGTGCACAGGTGCTGGCCGAGTGGATCACCACTGTTCAAGAACGGGTGGGCCCTTACCTCGGTATCCTTGGCCGCGATGATGTCGATTTAACTCAAGTACCGGGAGTCATGCTACTAGAAGACGAGGATTGCAAGCTGGTCGATAAGATCAAGGAGATCTTGGGGAGTATTGAGATGAAAATGCAGCGCCAGTTCCAAAATGGAAATTCTTTGTCCGCGCTGAGTGCCGTGCAACGGCTACCCAGTCTTGTGGAAGGGGGATACGGATGTAAAATATTGATTGCGACAGCCAGTCTCCTGGAACGAGCTGCTGTCTGGCCAGGTTAGTGAATTTCAGCCCCACAAACGTCAACAAACCAGGACGCTTCTCTAACACCACCCGCAGTGACGAAACTGATGGCCCGTTCTCTGGAAGCCCAAGCCATGCGAATGAAGGAGCGTACCGAGCACTCCGTGATGATGACCCCTTAATGACCACCTCCGCCTCCTATTACCTTGTTTGAATGTCCAATGTCTGATCTATATTTATTTCCCCCATCTCTCCAACTCCTGTTTCCTATTCGCGCCCGCCCGTGTATCATGAATAAGCATCAAAGGCAACAACATCCCCTCCATCCCATCGGAGCATGTATCTGCACCAATACCCTGCACCCGTTCCCTCCGGCTCTATTCGCAACATGCGTACCGCCTTTGATACACTTTGATACCCTGCTTTGAGACTTTGATTCTGTGTCATAGACAAATTGCCTGCTCATGTCATGTCATGTCATCCTCAGTTGCTAGCGTTCTTGCTTTGTTTGTAACCCCCCGACCGGTATCCTTGCTGTGGTGTGCTGATTGAAACGGAGTGTTTTGTTTTTCTCGTTTCTTTTCATCTCGACTTGCTGATTTCAGTCGAGGGTGAAAGCTCTTTCTTTTTTTCTTTTTCCTGTGCGGTGTTTGTTTGATTATCCAGAGTTTTACTTCGTGTGAATATGATTTCCCTTCTCTTAAAGGGCTCTTGTAGTAATATGCCTCAACCTATATATGCCAACAAAAGTAGTTGGCCGCGTATATGGCCCAGGGCTGTCTCTTAACATATAATACCTAGTGGTCCGAGCGCTCCGTAACCACCAAGACTCCGGGTTGGTGTTTGGGTCTCCGCACCGCTTCATTCATATCTCCGACACACTCCAAGGTGAACGCAAATTGATACCAAAGAAAAAACCGATCCCACGATACCCAGCACGCTGTACTGTTCTTTGGCGAAAATATGGAAGTGGAATACTAGTTTGCTTTTGAGGCAACCCGTCGACAACCCCAGGTGGTTAGAATCTCAGGCAGAACATCTGCCTGGTGTCAATCGCATATGGTCGGCCTACCTCTGCATCGGAAATGAATACGACCTCCAAGAATCTTCCCGACCCCTCCATCGCAGCGTGCGACTGCTCGGCTTCTCCACCCACAATTAATCTCAGCTCAGCTCGAAACTCAACCTAATGCCCTATCCACGGCCCGTTTCCCCGGTTTCCCTCGAAACATGCCCGCCTTCGTCATCCGAGATAGATTCAGATGGCCTACTCGCCTCGGATGACGAGCTGGATGACGCTGCCCGGGCTGCAAAGCGCCAGCGGGTCGAGAAATTGGCGGAGTCTTATCTGGAGGGCAAACCATTGTTGATTCTCTCTGCGTCCCTCCGAGGCCCGTTCAATGACGGATGGGTCAATCCATGGAAGCAGCATAGGACACGCGGGACTGGCGGACCAGCGATGGTTCGCCAGACAAATGTCCCCGAGCGGGTGGTGCAGGAAACTGACTTGCGGGCTCCGAAGTACCGAGAGGGCCTATCGCGTCGCCCGGAGATTCCTGTGATGTCGTGTAACTCTCCTAGGACCTCACTGCAGACCGGAGACCGTTCTTCGCCCTCTAAATCGCCACGGAGACAATCCAAGGAACCGACCCCGCGACGCTCTCCCACCAGATTAAAGCAACCGCCGTCGTCGACAGTGGACGATCAATCAATAATGCCGCCTAGGACAGTGGACTGGCTGAAGAAGGATCGAAAGCTCATGAATTTCACCAAGTTCGAACCGCCGAGCTCGCCAACAATATCCGTAGCTTCTCGCCAGTCAAATAAAGCTCGTCGACCGATGCCGCGTTCTGTTCAAGTCCAGGTCCCACAGACGCCGGGATCGCCAACAAAATTCCCTCCTCTCAAAACTATCCCAGTGAAGACAGTCCAGAGTGCTCGTGCGAATTCGAACGGGCGCCTGTCCCCGCGGTCGAATCCATCGGCCACCTCGAATTCACCCAAGATCCCTACCGTTCCCGAATTATCGCCTTTTCAACAATATCAAGAATCACATTTGCCACAGGACGCGTCTCTCCAAATTGCTAATTCTTCCTCTCAGCTGCCGAGGTTTGAATATTGGAGGTGGCTCCGTAAAAATTCGAGTCAACAGGAGAAGACCTCTCCTATACAAGATAAAAGTATCCTGCAAGAGGAGACTGTTTTGCACGAGGATACCCCTCTGAAAGAAAACTCCGAAGTCGATCCCGCTCCTGCCAGTCCTAGTCCAGCTAGGAATCAAGCATTGGACCCTGCTGAACCCGGTCCTGAACCCTCGGGCCCCGAAGAAATAGCAGTCCACAATGAGCACTTTGTGAAGAACGATGCAAGCCACAAAACTTTATCGAAAGAAACTAGGTTCGCAAACGAGGAAGATTTCATAGAAAACAATCTTGCGGCGGAACAGGTCGCGGCGGAACTGGATGTTGCAATCGAGGAAGATACCTGTACATCGACATTACGAAACACAGATATCTCTGGACCCACCGAACAGAACACCTACGATCATCTTCCTTCTGCCCAGCAAGTGCCAGCACCTTTAGGAGTGTCAGATCGGGTAACGTCATTGCACTCGACGGCTTTGCCGAGAGGAAATTCAGGACGAGACTCACCCCCAAGCCCTGATACCCAGCTTTCAACCCAGGCTGCTCTTTTGCAAGCCCAGAAGTCCCTTCAAGACGACCTGGACAGTCCAGAATATTACAATCAACATACACCGAATCCGGACCGAGCAGTGCATTCACCCAATGCTTCATTTCACTCAGCAAATGTCACTCCATTCTACCGTATAGGAGAGTCACTTCGACGTGATCTAGAGCGGAGTTCGAGATCCATGCGCAAGGACGGGATGCCAGCAATGAGCACGCAATTCATGCTTGATGCAGCTACGCCCTTCAATTTCAGCGCTGAGCAAGCTGGTCAAGATCGAAGCTTGACGCCTACGAACAAGAATATGACGCAAATGAATACGCAGTTCATGCTCGATGCAGCCACACCATATGCTTTCAGCTCGGAGAAGAGACAGCATGCGTCCCGGCCAGACTCAGGTTCACCTACAACGAGAAACTCCAAGAGAAAAAAGATGGTTAATATCGGAAGCCCAGCCCCTTCTGCTAGGAGTCAATCAACGTCTGTCAACGACGAAAATCACACTGCGGAATCCCAATCGGGTGAAGATGAAGGAAGCCCACAAATCCCACGATCAGCGGCCGAACAACAGTTTGATCATCAACCAACTTACCAATCTGCCACAGAGATCGCGTCTTTGCCCCTCACTTTAAGCGAATCGATGCCAACAACTGGCCAGGATGGACAAGGTGTTCACCAGGGAATGGAGAGTTTCAACCTCAGCCAGGCAATTGCAGATGCTGGTAGCTGGCTTCAACAAAGTTTCGATTTCATGAAGGACACCGCTCGGCCAAGTCAGAATCTCAAGGCGATTCCTACCTCTGACGCGCACCCTTCCCCTATAAACATGGATCTATCTCAATAACGAGAGTTCCTTGATGCTATTATGACTTGAGAGTTTTTTACTTCTTGTTCTGCCCATCTTCCCGTCATCCATAGCATGTTGAGAGCTTCAGCTTGGTAGGGAAGTCGATTCGGAATCTCATAGTCCTAGCATATATCGGTACATTTTCTTTGAGCAATACCTATTGATTATGGTAAATGCATGTCTTATATATGCAGACATGGGTGGAAAAGCTACAAATCGCACCAGAAACGAACAATCCATCATTTGAAGTAGCAAAGTAAAAGAGAACGTCGTCCTGGCAGCCGTAGATCGACGTCAGGAACCAAGTGGCCCGAGCGCCAGCGGGGAGAGCTCCGAACCGCAGAGTCACCTTCGCATCTCAATCAATGGCGAGCCGAGATGGCGCTGACATCAGTAAGAGGACAAACTTTCCTACTGATGAACCGCAGCTGACAGAAGCAACAGTGGAAAGCATTCAACTTCATCGACGTGACGCCGGTGAAGCTACCAGAGGACAGCTCCTCGATCTTCGATGTAAGGCCTCGACTTTCCTCTGCTCCAGCCCATGATGTATCTAACATTCAACCCTAGACTGACCTCTCGAGTATCTGCACCGGCTCCGCGAACCTCTTCGTTGGCACTACCGATGGCTTCGTCCATACCGTCTCCTCGGCCTTCCGCGTCGTGCGATCGTTCAAGGCTCACGATACCGGCTCCATTACACACATGCGACAGATAAGCGATACCGCTCTGCTAGTCACCGTCGCCGAAGATCTCTCCAACGAGCCGGTTCTGAAGGTCTGGGCCCTAGATACAGAGAAGAAAGATGGAGGCCCGCGGTGTCTGTCAACGGTCTCCGTGCAGAATGCCAGGAGACAATTCCCGGTGCGTTTGCATCCGAAGCGAGAATAAACGAGGTCGAATACTTACTTACGTGGCATAGATATCGGCTTTCGCAGCTGTCGACGACCTCTCCCAGGTAGCAGTGGGTTTCGCAAACGGATCGGTGACGATCATCCGAGGCGACCTAATCCACGACCGAGGCGCGCGGCAACGGATCGTATTCGAGTCCGAGGAACCGATTACCGGCCTAGAGGCGCAGACAGGCGCCGTCACAACCCTCTACATTTCAACAACGAGCCGCATCTTGACATTGGTCATCGCCGGGCGAGGGCAGGGCCAGCCTGCGCGCGTTTTGGAAGATACGGGCTGCGGATTGGGCTGCATGACTCTGGATAAAGAAGGTGGGGACATTCTCATTGCCCGGGAGGAGGCGATCTTTACATACGGTCCGCGGGGTCGTGGTGCGAGCTATGCGTTCGAGAGCCCGAAGACGTCTATTGATGCCTTTCGTGACTATGTGGCTCTCGTCTGTCCGCCCAAGGCTGGGACTAGCAAGTCGGATCCGCTGAGCAAGTACACTGCTAGTCCGGCCGAGGATATTTTTGGCACAACCACGTTCACTCTTCTCGATACTGATCTTAAGTTCATCGCGCATAGCGAAGCGCTGGTGTCACCTGTGAAACGCATTTTCGTGGAATGGGGTGACTTGTTTCTTCTTACGACGGATGGCAAGGTGTGTGGATGCTGTAATGTTGTGTTTGGTCTTTCTTTTAACCCGCTTTAGATCTTCCGTTATCGGGAAAAGACACTCCAGCAAAAGCTCGAAATCTTATACGAGCGCAATCTCTACATCCTTGCTATTAATCTTGCGCAAAAGATTGGGATTGATACGCTACAACAGAATGCCATCTACCGCAAGTATGGTGACTTTTTGTACCAGCGTGGCGACTATGACACCGCTATGCAGCAGTATCTCCGGGCCATTGATAATACTGAACCTTCTCAGGTCATTCGCAAGGTCAGTGAGGATCGTGATTCGGTACTTTTCCCTCACTAATTGTTGCTGCAGTACCTGGACACCCAACGTATTCACAACTTGATTGAGTATCTTGAAGAGCTACACGACCATGGCCATGCCACGGTTGATCACACAACGCTTCTTTTGAACTGCTACGCAAAGCTCAAAGACACAAGCAAGCTAAGCTCGTTTATCAAAGCTCCTGGTGAGCTTAAATTTGATCTTGAAACTGCCATTGCAATGTGCCGTCAAGGCGGATACTACGAGCAAGCCGCCTACCTTGCAACAAAGCATGGCGAGAATGATATGGTCGTTGATATCCTGATCGAAGACTCTAAGAAGTACGCTGAGGCATTGGAATACATTTGGCGTTTGGATCCCGAAGTGGTATGTCTCAACTGCGTCATCTGGAGGAAACAAGCTAATCCGTGCCAGGCTTATCACAATTTGATGAAGTACGCTCGAGTGTTGCTGACACATTGCCCTGGGCGGACAGCAGAGCTGTTCAAGGTTTACTATGCTGGCCAGTACCGGCCACGCACGGAGGTAGAACAGCCAACAGAAACCCAAGAGCAGACTACTAGCACCGTGCAAAGTCTTGCTGCGCTTCTTCCTTTGAGGTATATGCATGTCGGCACCGGCAAACAACCTCCGGCTGAAATGCCTGAGCCGGCGACAAATGAAGACAAGGTTGAAGATTCTCCGCCAGGGTATGACATTCCGAAGCCGCGAACAGCCTTCTCTGCATTTGTGGATCACCCGAAAGAGTTCATCGATTTCCTCGAGACTTTGGTGCAGCAGCCGGACTTGAAGCAGGACGCCAAAGTTGATCTTTTCACGACATTGTTTGAAATGTACCTGGACACGGCAAAGGGGAAGAAGGATGCTGGCGAAAGACAAGAATGGGAGACAAAAGCCAAGAAACTAATCGAAGGGAAAGACGTGAGTTAGCCCGTCACTCATCTATCACCTCATATCTAACCCACCTAGATCCCGATCTCCACATCCAACGTGCTTCTCCTCTCCGACCTGTCAAATTTCAGGGAAGGATCGACTCTCGTCCGCGAGCAAGAAGGTCTCCGTCTTGACATTTTCCGTTCCTTCACATCAGCAAAGGATACACAGGGCGCCATCAAAGCGCTACGCCGGTATGGGCCCGATGAGCCTCAGCTCTACGTCGACGCATTGACATACTTCGCCTCGAGCCCGAAAATCCTCGAAGAAGCAGGCGAGGAGCTAGACACAGTCTTGCAGCGCATCAACCAAGACGGTCTCCTCTCCCCATTGCAGGTGATCCAAGCGCTCAGCAACAACGCGGTAGTAACAATGGGCCGCGTGAAGAAATACCTGAGCGACAACATCGACCGCGAACGAAAAGAAATTACCACCGTAAGCTCCCTCAGCATCTCCCCTCAGCGAATATCAAAAACTAACCTCAATTCCCTCTCCAGAACCGCCGCCTCATCACAAGCTACAAATCAGAAACCGAAACCAAACAACAAGAACTAGACCACCTAACCACCCAACCAGTAGTCTTCCAATCCCGCCGCTGTCAATCCTGCGGCGGAACCCTCGACCTCCCAACAGTCCACTTCCTCTGCAAACACTCCTTCCACGAGCGTTGTCTGAACAAGCTCGACGACGACGCGCAGTGTCCCGTCTGCGCCCCGACCAATGCGACGCTGCGCGCTATCCGCCAACGGCAGGTTGATTCCGCGGACCAGCATGACCTGTTCAAGGGGGAGTTGTCTCGCTCTCGGGATCGATTTGGGGTTGTTAGTGAGTTCTTCGGGAGGGGTATTATGAGGCCGCAGAGTACTATGGAATAGGATGGGTGGGATTGGTTGCACTTGGTTTAGATATGCTTTTTCTTCTTTTTTTCTTCTTCTTCTTTGGCGTGTCTCTATGGAGCTAGTGTATTCGTTTGATACCTCGATCTTTCTGAATTAGATCAAGTTGTTTCTCTTACTGGTAGAGATGGTAGATCATAGATAGTAGGGATAGAAGCACTTCTTTACATGTATCCACAGCTGCTTCGGATGTTGTTTACCACCAGCTGCAGGTATTTACGATATTACTATAACGACCACTTAGAAGAAAGTGCTTTGGAAAGGGAAAAACAAGGATTGTGTCCATGTAAGGAATGCATTGTAGAGTTAAACTCGCTTCGCTCTCGCAAATAACAGCGGCAAGCCAAGAAAAAGAGAAGAATCATATAACTCGATAAAAATGAGCAAGTCGGTCAAGGCGGTCACGCAAGGTCATTACATGCAAGAGCAATTAATATGCACAGAGGGTGATATAAGAAAATACATGAATATACTCGAAACAAAAGGGCTGAGGCAATAGAGACTGAGCAGATACATTTCCAGTATTGACTCAAGAGTAGGGTATCTTCTCCGTATGGCTGAGGACGGCTATCCAGAACGGGATAGACAATCCAGTCAAGAGGGTTCTATCCGATTGAATCCTTGAGATAGAGAGTCGGTTTGATTAACCAACTCGCTTATAGCTCGCGTCCCTTCTCGCCTCCCCATGAAACACGCGGGATTTGTCGGGAGGCAGACTGGGAGTTAGAGCCGGATCCAGATGGAGAAGACTGGTCAGATGGCTTGTGTGTTTCGGGGTTCTGGTTCTTGCTCGTAATCTGGCTCGACTCGTCGTTCTCATTGTCCTCAATATCCGTCTCCTCCATGATGGCATTATCATCCGACTCAGAGCCATCATCGTTCTCGGACTCGTCACCTTCCACGCCCAGGGCGGCCAGACGGCGGCGACGCTCGGCTGGGGTCTCGCCTGTGTCGTCGTCAGCCTGGCGCGGAGGCGCAGTCAGACCAGCGGCTTGGCGGAGACGAGAAGGTGGGATACGCTCTGTACCATCATCGTCGGAATCGCGGCGAGGCCGGTCCCGTATACGGGGTGGTGCAGGGCTGAGGTTGTTGCGGCGTTCTTGAGCGGCGGAGGTCCCGCCACGCGAGAACTTCGCTAGGGAGGCAGCCACGTTAGGGGAACCGCCATGGTCGCCAGACTCATCGTCGGTAACGTCGCTATCGGTGACGGACTCGGACTCCAGAGCTTCGGTGTCTTCTTCGGGGATGGTGCCAGCGCCAGCGCCAGCGGCGGTAGCGGCGACGGCTGCAGCAGAAAGGCGGCGCTC